CTTCTTGGTGGCTGTGGATGGTTGGAGACATCGGCTTTATTTATCAGGATGTAGTTGTATGTGTTGTGTGTTGTGCGAATTTTACCTAATAATTAGTTCAGTATCTAGGTCTTACCAAACCAATCGAACAAAATCCCTGGAAACTGAAGAGGTTACTTCCTAAGAAAAAGTGTAATGCACAGAGTGGAACTTCGAAGAAACTCTACAATGACGCCAAACGAAACAAAAAAAGCAAAACAGAGTAGAAGCCGAGGGGTTAAGCGCACTGCGGTCGCTTCGCGTATTGAGATTAGCCCTGTCGGCCAATTGCATTCACATAGTATTTTCAGAAGGGCATAACTTTATTCAGAAAAAACTTTCGCAGAGCGGTAAGGAGGATTCAAGTTGTTCGGACAGGCTCTGTAATAAATACACTACGTGACCCTTCAAGCTTGCATGACGGCTTCTGGCCAGGAAATAACGAGGATAATTTTGGTCAAACCCGAGTTCTTCACCTTTCAATGGCGATAACTTTGCTCAGGCGTAATGGAACGGTGGTCTACATGGCATTGGAAATTAGGAAGTTTTCTCTTCTGAATGAGCTCAATTTTTTGTAGCTCAATTGTAGCGGAAATTCACCGGTAGCGAAAATCACAAAAATAACGAGGAGAATTTTTGCGAACACGCGTTTTTTTTCCTTTCAAAAGCCATAACTTCGTTATGACATAATTTGAGACCTTTGAAAATTAGAATGTTTTCTGTTTCTGACGAGCGCAACATCCTTCCTTTAGCCCAACAACAGCGGGAATTCGCCCCTCACGGATTTCTTTTCGGAAGGCAGCTCTAGCTGCGGTATGACTATCTTCCCCTTATAAAACCCACATTTCCATAGACTTATCTCCTGAGGCTTCCCACACAGGTTCTGCTTATTTGGCGAGTAGAGGTTGCAGCACAGAGGTGCAGATAACGCGCCGTGTACTAGACTTTCTTTCCGAACGCATCACCCATTCTGCAAGCATCGTCGTTGCTGTGTTGAGTAATGACCTTTACGAATACGACCCTCCTCTTAAGGGGAGGCCGAATAAGACCTCCTGTCACGGATTCCGCGACGTATGCTTTACCATGCTCCCCTCACTGATGCGCACCTCGTTGTTATCGCACCATAAGAAGGAGATACGCATCAAAAGAAAGGCTCGATGTCTCTTCTTCTCGCAACATACGATCAACAACAG